AGGAGCGAGAGTTCGGTGTTCGGTAGAGCCCGCCGATACAGCCCAAAGATGGAGAACGGCAACCTCCCGGTTTGTCGTCTGCTAGCGGAGTCGGCGGTGTGCCATCCACTGATCTCTATGACAATTGCTGGATCGCGTTTGCCCGCTCCGCGAATGCGGTCACTGGCGGCCATCTTTAGGTAGAGTTGTATCACCTCTAGCCAATGTAAGCTGCTGGAGCCGCTATCATCCATCCATGGCAGATAGCGTTTTGGCAGGTGGGTTGGCAGGCTGCGGTCAAAATAGCGTGGGTGATATTGCGTGCTTGATTAAAATTATTTGACGAAACATGTTTTTGAAACCCAGTGTGAACAGTAGTCCGGTTTTTGAGGACCTGGTAAAAGTTTCACGAAATCGCAGCACCGGGAGAAAAGCAGCACAGCACGTATCGAAAGTCGCATCGAAAGAAGCATCGAAAGCAGACGACGGTACGGAGTCTGCTTTTGATGCGAGCTGCGCTGCTTTCCCCCGGTGCTGCGCTTTCGTAGAACTTTTGCCGGGTCCTCAAAGATGAGGCTACCGTTCACGCCGGGTTTCAAGAGTCTGCTTCGTCGAACAACTTCAATCAAGCACGAAATGTCACCCACGGTACAGTGTACTAGATCTACGGCTATTTTTATGGCAGCCTGCCGCCATTGCGCTGTCCGCCATATTACTATGGTGGCTAGAGATGATATAACTCTACCTAAAGATGGCCGCCAGTGACCGCATTCCCGTCCATAGGAGGAGCTGGTCAAACGCGATCCAGCAAATAGACATAGAGATCAGTGGTGCCATCTCTCTCGTTTTACCCCGCCGAACCCGCTGAACTTCCCGGATGTGTGGAGAGGGAGCTGCGGTCGAACAAAATGGTGCCGCCCAGAGAGCGCTTAATGGAATGGTCTATAGAAAAGTGTTATTAGGGAGCTTTCGTAACTCGTTTTCGCCGTCCCGCAAGGCCCTCCGCAACCCACTAGGATAGCGGGAACTCCACAATCAAGGCTATTGACGCGCAGGCGCAGTAGCGACTTCTTCGTTGCGGAACGCTTAGCGGAGGGGGCAGCGCGGTCTACAAAAACTCCCTATTAGCACTGTACATCCTGCGGCGTCCGCGCGCGGAATGAATCGCCGCATGTCACGTTATTCACGCGAAGTTTTGCGGTGTAACGAGCTTCGTTAATTTCACTGAGGCCGCTCAAGTAGTCAGACATTGCTAGGAAGACATGGAATCAACAATTCGAAAGCGAAAAAGGGCAGGGGGACTCACATCGCATTTCAAATTGGTTTGTTTACGGGCGACGGCGAGCTTCTTGTCCACACTCCATCGCGCATGCGCGGCGCCCGTGGCGTCCGCTAGGGGCGCTCCAGTTTGTTTGTAATTATGAAGCAACAAAAAAGAAACCACAAAATTCAGGCCGCAGAGAACATAGAGTTATTATAATGTACGCTAGAGGTTCAAGTGGCGCTAGTGTGCTGACGCAAATTGAAGCAGACAGCAACCAGTCGATAATTGACTTCCGGTATTGCATTTCTATGGGAAAAAGTGAGTGCATTTTCTCTCTGCGCTCGATTATAAGAGCAAATATCCCAAATAATTCGTATGTACTAAGTAGCTTGGAACATTTCTCAGTCAGGCCGACGAAAGGATTGGTCAGTTACGGCGTTTTTCTTTTGAATTCATCGGATTAAAAACGGTGCTAAAACGGCTTCGTCCATGTCTTTATGTGCACTGTCGGACACTGTTAGCGCGAACGCGGCGATTTCCAGCATGGGGGATATACATGCCAAAGGAACGAAGGACATCTGGAAAATCCAGAGCGGCTGCAAGAACTGCGCAGTAACACTGGATCAGGAACTCGCAATGCATGTACGATCAAAATAAATTGGGTGTCACGTAATCTATTCCCATTTTAAATAAGTAAGTACCGCTTTATTCTTCCTGCCCTGAGCGAATCTGCTTCTTCTACGTTCAAAATATCACCCGCGCGCTCGATATCTTTGAGAACAAGTGCGCGATAAAAGCTGCCCGGCAGAGAAAACAATACGAAGAGACACCTTTTATAGCCCACGGACTTTATTCTCTACGTTTTGAAAGTTTTTATCCGCTCATGCACGACGGGATCATTCTAATATAGTGACAGGACTGGCATATTATCAATATACAAGCGTCACCGGAATGCTCGCGAGCCTTGAACACACTCTATATTCGTTTCGATTGAAATTTTAATTTGAATCGTCGCTTGTTTTTACACACCTGCTGCGGAACACACGTTCGGGACTGAAATTTAGCGAAGTTCAATATCGTTCACTGATGAAGAAAAATGTGCTAACTAAAGCAATTACACTTATATAGTGTCAATCTAGATACATGCTATTTGGTACGACCCAAATAACCAAAGTGTTCCGTGTTATTTTCCGGCGAAGAGACAAAATGCACGCGCGTTTTCCCACAGGAATGCACAGGAGCACCGCAAAAGTAGACTGGTTGCTGTCTGCTTCAATTTGCGTCACGGAAGTCGCATAGACACTAGCGCCAGTTCAACCTCTAGCGTACATTATAATAACTCTATGGCAAAAAAGAAAGAAAAAAAAAACAAAAAAAAAAAACGCGCAAAGCACTAACGGCAAAAGGGTAAACAAAGATAAGGCGTTCGAAGTGCGATTGCTCAACCGTTGTCGACACACTCAACTTGACGATGCCTTTTTTTTTTTTTTTTGGCGCTAAGGAATCGCGCAGCGACAGCGGGTGTCCGGGGAAAGAGTGCACGCTACTATTCCAAGAGCGCGGGCAGTCCCTGCCCTTCCTACGCGGGTGCGTGCCCTTCCCCTTGTGTTTGCTATTGTTCACTTTTTTTTTTTTTTTTTTTACATTTGCTTTTTCGCTGCGTATTCCCGAGCGGGTATGCTGGCATGGCGGTCTGCCAGCCCCGCAATGCGAGCTACGTGCTCGTCGCGGGCGCAATTCTACCGCGGGAAAAGCGACGGGCCGCCGTGCTGGAGCAGATCAGGGGCCCTATGCTGCGCTTTTTGTACTCCCCCGGCGACTAGGGAAAGGAAGTGCCGTCAACAAAGCAGCAAACGCAGATTGGATGTTCATCGGTGAGTAGCTGATGACGAATTTCCCCAGAAGAAAACAGAAAAAAATGAAAGCCGTTTACAACTCCCTGTAACGCCGAATTAGTGCGCAGCTCTTGAGGAGGAGGAGGGAAGGGTACTGAGGGGAGGATATACCCCTCTTTCCTCCTCCTCACCTCATCATAGATAAAATAGGGTGCAGGCGAGCTGGTGGATGTTAACCATGTTGAATATACCTGAGACTGGGGTAGAAAGGAACATAAAAGTCGAAGAAACAGACGTCGTCCCTTTCTGTTTCTTCGACTTTTATGTTCCTTTCTACCCCAGTCTCAGGTATATTCAACATGGTTAACACCTCATCATCCTGTCTGCTACTCCCTCCGAGCGGCGTCGCCGTCGCCTCACGAAGGTCACGTGACCCCCGTGGCGTCACGTGACCCCTGTGAGGTCACGTGACGATGACGGCATCGTCACTATCACTGATGACGTCATCGGCATCGTCGTCACGCGTCCCATAATGCAACGCGGTTACGCCAACGGCGACACTCAAGCCGGAAACGGGCGCCTAAGAGCTGCGTCTAAAAGTGGGCTTTTGTTTTCTTCTGAGGAAATTCATCAGCGACCCCCACCAATCAACGCCTAATCTGCGTTTGCTGCGTTGTTGACGTCACTTCCTTCTCCTTGGTCGCCGTGGGAGTCCAAAAAGCACCGTGACGCCCCAAGCGGTTAGCTTTAGAACTACACAGATGGGGGCAACAAATACAATGACTCAGCGCTCGGCTGACATAACCGAACGCGGCGTCAGCGTTCGGCTGGAGTTCGTATTCTTCGGTGAGGGGGAGGAGGGGCTCTTTTGTTATCACTCCAGCCTGCATGAACAATGCAGCATGCACGGTGCCCAGCTCGGCACAAAAGCTGAAGTGGGCCAAGCTCGCATTCTCTGACGACTGCTTTCGGGAGACATCCGGCACTAGCGTCACTTCGTTTATTGTTAGTGTTTTTATATTGCACTGCGCTCCGCGCTCTATTGAAGAATATAATATGGACATGGCCACAAGGGCTGTGGCATGTGCACAGGCCTTGTGTTGGGTAAACACCGAATTGTGGGGACAACAAACAGGTCAGAGCGCCCCGTATAGTTCGATCTCCTGCCCAATATCGAGTGTCCCCGCCATGGGAGTTTCGATACAGAAAAACAATGCTCCTATACAGTTACATGTGATTTTCAAGGGGAGTTTTGGACTGTTTCATATAAACAATAATTCGAAATACCCGAGTGTGATATAACCGGGCTCGACTGTATATATATTCTAAAGTATATATGCATGCCAAATTGGGTTGCGATAGGACGATATTAAGAACAGGAATTCTTGCGCATAAACTGTGAACATGCCCCAAAATTACATAAAAAGAAACTCGTTGGAATTTTACCATAGATGTGTAGCTACACTCTTTCGCGGTGCGGAAAAATTATTTGTGTTAATAAATTTTTGCAAGAAATGGAAGCTACAGAAGACTGCAATAGAGAGGGGACGGCTAGGCCTACTTTTCGACATAAATGTGGCGACGGGTGACGTTGCAACTCAAAGAACCGTGCAGAGAAAAATTACTCAAATTCGCGCCGTTCTGGGTTGCCTGGAGGTCTTCAAATGTGTATACGACTAATTTCACTATCTTAACCGGCACTAACTATTTTTATACATCAAACGTTCAAAAATAATCAAACATCACAAAGCCAAAAAGCACATTTTCTAGCAAAATATTGTTTTTCGACTCGCATCTCCCCTTGAGAGCATGCCCGACACTGCTCGCAGACGCCTTGGAATATTTCTTTTTAAAAGGCCACCTTCATACAAAGCCTGGAATCCAGAGCCTGGTGATAGACATTGACAAGGGAAGAAACTGACCGAGATGAGGTTGTCCAGTCCCGTGAGGTAGCCGTCCTCGTGGTTCCCCAGCAGCCAGGGCGCCCGGTGGCTCACCGACACTCCTTCCGGAAGGGGAATGGTTTTGGCAAAGTCAATCATCCAGACGCCTGCCTTCTTGCCATCATGGACGATCAGCAAGCTGCTACCAATAACCTGCAAGTTGAGAGGTCAACTGCCACCTCTGAAGCCAAGAAAGTTGCGTAAAAGGCCATATGCTGGCTTCTACCATTCGGAAATCGTCTTAGCCTTTGTGACGCCTGCCAACAGCTGGACGATTAAGCATCGGAAATATCTACATCCACGTACGGGGACGGGTCGGCGATGCTGAAGGAAGGGGCTATCCACGCGCGTGGACGCTGCCTCTTCCTTCAGGATCGCCCACCCTCATTTTTTTAGTGCCAATGTCAAAACTTAACAGCTTGCTCTTTTAAGAGTAATAGTTTTTAGATGAGCATGCGAGTTCGGGTTTTCAGGTGTTTTATTATCTTTATTTTATGTATGTATGTATATATATATTGTAGCAGAAGTCGGATTCAGTGATGGGGGTTTATTATTTACACGGGTATTGGAGATAGAACTCAAGATGACCTTTTGGTATATATTGCCGCTCGCTCAGTCTGTCCTTCCTCTTCCTCTTTTCCCAGGACGGCGCGTCCCCGAAGACTCGTGCCGCTTCTCTTCGTTACAATATATCCCCTTCGCAGAGGTAGCCATCCTGGCGAAGGTGATGTTAGGGCTGGTAGATTGGCGGACTGTAGAGTTTAAGGCGGTTCACATGAGCTATTTCACGACCACGTCGGCGGCGATCAGTCGGTGGCGAAAAGGGCTCGATTTCATAGTTGACTTCTGAAGTCTGGCGAAGCACACGGTAGGGGCCGTGGTAGTTAGAAAGCAATTTGTCACAGAGACCGGGATGACGTTGCGGTGTCCACAACAGGACAAGATCACCCGGTTTGAATGACAGAGGGTTGGACGCGGCATTGTGGCGGCGTTTTTGTTGTCCTTGAAGGTCGGCAGTGCGTGTCCTTGCTATCTGACGGCGTTGCTCAGCATGTTCTCGGATTTCGGTGAGTGGTGTGCATTCAGACTCCTCCGGCGAATAGAGCAACAGGCTATCGAGTATTGAAGAGACCTCCCTCCCATAAAGAAGAAAAAAAGGGGAAAATTGGGTAGTGTTTTGAACGGCGGTATTATAAGCAAAGGTTATGAATGGAAGCACCTTGTTCCAATTCCGGTGATCAGGGGAAATATACATGGCAAGCATATCAGCGAGTGTTCGGTTGAAACGTTCAGCCATGCCGTTGGTCTGCGGATAATATGGTGACGTTGTTCGATGAATAACGCTGCAAGCTCGTAAAACCTCTTTCAGAATTTTTGAAAGGAACACAGTTCCGCGGTCGCTAAGGAGCTCTTTCGGAGCTCCATGACGAAGAACAATCTGGTTTAAGAAAAAATTGGCCACATTTTCTGCTGTCGCCGAAGGTAAAGCAGCGGTTTCGACATAACGGGTGAGGTGATCAATGGCGACGATGGTCCATCGGTTTCCAGAGGAGGAATTCGGAAGGGGACCAAAAAGATATATCCCGACGCGCTGAAATGGTTTTTCTGGGCACGGTATGGGCTGGAGCAGACCTTGAGATGAATGGGAAGGCGATTTGCGACGATGGCATTCGGGACATGATTTTACAAACTTTTGAACGCTGCCATAAAGCCCTGGCCAGTAGTACCGCAGACGAGCCCGAGTGTAGGTCTTGAGAAGTCCTCCATGAGCACATGTTGGATCATTGTGAAGATGTTCTAAAACCTCACGTCGTAAGTGACGAGGGATAACAAGAAGGCAATGGAGACCTTCAGGTGAATAGTTGCGCCGGTAAAGGAGCCCATTCCGAATGCGGAAATGTTGGGACTGCCTTCGTAGTGACCAGTTTTGGGACGAGTCAGGGTCTCTCACAACTGTCAGAACTTTCGTTAGCCACAGATCTCTTGCTTGTTCGAGTTGCATGTCGACAATATTTAGTGCCGACGAGGTGAGAGGGTCTTCGTCGGTGTCAGATGGATCGGGTGCGTCAGTGCGCAGCAGACATCTCGAGAGACCATCGGCGTCGCCATGTTTGCGGCCAGATATATACAGAACCGCAAAGTCGTATTCTTGTAGGCGCAGCATCCATCGACAAAGGCGTCCAGTGAGATCCTTTAAAGACGATAACCAGCAAAGGGCATGATGATCGGTCACAACATTGAAACGTCGACCATAAAGGTATGGGCGAAACTTTGTGACTGCCCACACGACTGCCAAGCACTCTTTTTCGGTTACGGTGTAATTTTTTCCGGGTTTTGAGAAAGCCCTACTTGCATAGGCGACAATGCAGTTATCAAAGCCTGCTTTTGTCTGAGCGAGAACTGCTCCGGCTCCGAAGCCGCTGGCATCAGTTCGGAGTTCTGTTGGGGCAGTGGGGTCGAAGTGTCGGAGTATTGAGGCGGATGTTAGAATTTCCTTGAGCTGATTGAAGGCAGCTTCACACTCAGATGTCTAAGAAGGCAGGTGGGACGATTTCTTCAAAAATTCATGCAGGGGTGCTGCTATGGATGCGAAGCCACGCACAAAGCGTCGAAAATAGGAGCAGAGTCCAAGAAAACTTTGCAGTTCTTTCTCCGTGGTTGGCTTTGGCATGTTGGAAACGGCCTGAATTTCTCAGGATCCGGCTGAATGCCGTCTTTGGACACGAGGTGACCCAGAACGTTTATTTGCCTCGCCGCAAATCGACAATTCTTGACATTTAGCTGGAGGCCGGCGTGGCTGAGACAGGACAATATGGTTGTTAATCGATGGAGGTGCTCCTCAAATGTCTTTGAAAATATAACTACGTCATCTAAATAACACAGACATATTTTCCATTTCAGGCCTCGCAACACAGCATCCATCATACGTTCAAACGTCGCGGGTGCGTTGCATAGGCCGAAAGGCATGACGTTGAACTCGTACAGTCCTTCCGATGTAATGAAGGCTGTTTTGTCTCGGTCGTTGGAGGCCATGGGGATTTGCCAGTAGCCTGAACGGAGGTGTACAGAAGAAAAATACTCGGCTCCCTGCAGGCTGTCAAGGGCATCATCGATTCTGGGCATTGGATATACGTCTTTGCGCGCGATCTTGTTCAGCCGCCGGTAGTCAACGCAGAACCTTATGCTACCATCTTTCTTCTTGACGAGGACCACTGGGGAAGCCCACGGACTCGTAGATGGCGTGATGACACCTCTGTCTAGCATGTCGTTCACTTCGTCATCTATTATGCTTCGTTCAGACGCTGAGACACGGTATGGACGTTGACGTAAGGGTTTCTCGTTGCCTGTATCAATGTGGTGGACTACAGACGTGGAACGGAACAAAGTAGACTGTGGGCGATCAAATATGGTGTTAAATCTACGCAGAACAGACAGAATTGAGTCTTTTTGAGACGAATCGAGGTGGCCATCTACAGTGGATAACAAGAACTCGTCTTCGTCATGTCGCTGCTGAACTAATGTACAACAATATGCAGGAGAGGGAGTATCGAATGCGAAAACCTCGATGGCTTGAGATGGTTCGGCGTAGGCTACAACTTCACCGGCAGGGAGCATTATTGGGAGAGAAGACCCCATATTGAGAGCCACAATAAATCCGTGGCCGTTGTCAAGGTTGAGCAAGAAAAAAGGAACAAGGATACCTGTCTTGCGAAAAAAAACTGCAGATGGAGATGCCATTAGGACTAGCACTTCGAGTTTAGATGACTGAATCGGCAGAAACACAGAAGCAAACGCAGGAATTCTTGTGTCATCAGTTAGAAATAATTTGATCGTGTCGACAGCGTCATTTTCTTCAGGAAGCCGAATTTCAGCAAAGTCCACCTCTGCACGTTCACAGTCAATAAGGGCATTCGTTGCTTCCAAAAAGTCCCAGCCACGAATCACGTCGTGAGAGCAGGAAGGAAGCACCACAAATTCGACGCAGTAACATATATCTTGAATCACAATGCGTGTTGTGCAGACCCCGGTAGGGACAATGTTTTGCTCATCAACAGCTCTAAATGGACGTCCAACAAAAGGGGTCGTGACTTTCCTCAATCGATTACAAAGGTCAGCCCGAATGACTGATACAGCAGCGCCGGTGTCAACTAATGCTTGAACATGCAAACCATTAATTACAATATCAATCATATTTCGTGCAATAGGGCGAGGACTTAAGGATATAGAAGGATTCGCAGTTCTCGCCTCTGGAACTGCTCCTAGCAGTTTCCCTCTGGAGCGGGAGATGTCGTACGCGGGCGGAGAGGAGACAGCGAGCGTCGTCTGGGAGACGGAAATCTGCTTGGTCGTTGCTGCCGTTGGTAGTCAGAGTAATCTTGGAAAGCATCACTTCGACGACTACCAGCGAAGCCTGGTCGATGGTGAGCTTGTGGTGGGGGACCATAACTTTCAGTGTACCGACGTCGACAAAATCGAGCGACATGTCCAACCAGACCACATGAAAAGCAAATTGGTCAACTCTCCGTGGTCCTCCATATGTCGGCTCTACGTCCTTGCCTGCGAGAGGGAGGAAATGGTTGCTGGGGTTGGACGACAGGCATGGGGGGCGGACGCGCTACTATTTCGGCGTACGTAGGCGCGAGCGGCATTGGCATGGTGGGCGGTATCACAGGGTCAAGGGTGTATCTCAAAACGCCCCATTCGCATTTGAACCGTGCACATTTCGACCCATTCTCATTTGGTCCTTCTCGTTTGAATCTTCTCATAAGATCAGAATCCTGTTTTTCGCAACTGGACCCATTCTCATTTCGCCCGTTCGCCCTACGACCGAATGACACTAGTTCGGCATGCTTCTAACGCTTGATGCTTGATGAGCCTTACCTTAGTTGGGCCCCCAACATACCGTCAGATATATGTTATGTGTAGAGGTACGCACTGAGAATCGTACATTGACGCCTGCTTCCCTTCCTCTAAGCAAACGAGAAAAAAAAGCGAGAAACATTTAATTTGGAAACTTTGTTTGAACAGAAATAGCATACATAACAGCGGTGGTTCTCAACCATTAATGTTTCGCAGACGCCTTGAAGAAAGGCGGAGATGATGGAGGACCCCGTTCGGGGTATAGAAAGGTATAGGTTATCATGATAATGATT